TAATTATTAAGACCCCTACATTATGTAAATCAGAGATTTGGGGGTTCAAAATTGGGGGTTCCCCTGTCCGTGCAAATCTGAGCCCCGAAACGATCTGCTCAGACCCGTGTTAGTTGGTGGTAGTAGTTGTTGTAGGTCCTGGTAAGATGTTGGGTTGTACTCTGCGATATGGGAGTTCTCGAAGTTACCGTTTTAGGTCCCCAAAATATTTACGGCACCCTTATAAAAAAAATACCCTAAACCGTACCCCCAATCTAGAGAACTACCCACATGGTTCTCGCGACAGCGAAGCCCTCCGTAGCTGAGGCAAAGTCCAGGGCGTCCTGGCCAAGGAAGGACTCTTTGAGGTCCGTCACTGGGCTTGGAGGGATGTCCAGGTCCTCTTTAATATAGGAGCCCACCATGATGGCCCCTAAACCCTAAACCCTCTCTTTGGTTTGTAGGTTTAATGCAATATTTGCCAGAACCGAAGTCAGAAGATCCAAGCCCCTATTTTACTGGATTTCGCGAGAGTAGTTTGGACCTTAGACTCGCTGGGATGGTGCCAGTAGACTTCTATCCCCGTCAGCACAACCCCATGCGCCCCAAAGCCACAACACCAAACCCGAAAGCCCTAAGCCCTGAAGTGCCTACAACTAATGTAGGGGCCTACAAAATTACCAATACTATTTTGGGAGGTTCTCTATTTTAATTCTAGTATAATGGGCCCCAAAACCCTATTCTAACTATTAAGGCTCCGATATTATTTCCGCTCGACGGTTGCGACACCTCCATTACCTAGGTTCGCCCACTGCGGCGCGTTCCCTCGAGCTTTGTAGTTATCTCGCTTGGTGGTATTGGTGTTGTTTTCAATATCAGGGGGTTCATGTCACGTACTATAGGGGCCTAAAGACATAATTACCAATACTATTTTGGGGGGTTCCTTCTTATGATTCTGGTATACTATACCCCAAACCCAAACCCTATTATTCTAATTAATAATAAGGCCACTATCTTATGCTATGTGCTAAGTACCCAGAGGCCTCCCCACAAAAGCCACGGTGCTCGGGCTGAAGAGAACCCAAGTTCGGGAGGAAGGCTCCTTTCATCGTAGATCTTCGGTCGTTTTTGGGGGAGACTAATATCGGGGCCTTAAGGATTAGAATAGGGCTTGGGGGTATATTATACTACAATCGTAACAAGAAACCCTCAAAACCCTATTCTTATTATTAAGGCCCCTACATTAGTATCTTTCGTCTTGTAGGAGAACAGCACACTCAATTCGGGACTGTTCCTTAAATGTAGAAGGCCTAGTATGTATGGCTACTACGATTTAGTGCTGTTTTTGAGGGCTTTAGGTTCTCCATTTTCGGCTCTGACCCAGGAAAGCTGGAGAGTCAGGTTCAGCTGGTGGAGACGATACCAGAGAGCTTCTTGGATGATTCCTAGACCCTCCATCTACCCTCCATTAGACCCTAAAGGGTTTAGGGTCTAGGGTTTAGGGGTTTAGGGTCTAGGGATCAGGCCCCTAATACCCATTATTTATTATTTGGCACATAACCCTAAACCCTCAAACCCTCTTTTCGGTTGCAAGGAGGGTCCTGGTTTAGGGCCCAGGGTTTGTCGGCTTTCGGTTTTGAGACTCCGGGAGTAGAGCTGAGGGCTCTTTGGGGTATTAGGGTGTTACATTGGGCTTAGGGTTTAGGGTATTTGGGTTTAGGGTATATGGGTTTAGGGTATAGGGCATAGGGCATCGGGGTTTAGGGTTTAGGTACAGAGATTTTTGAGTTCCTTGTTGGGAGTACCTTATGGGATTCACTTTGGGTTTAGGGCTGTTCGGTGCGCAGGGCCGGGCTTTTTGGGCTCATGGTTGCGGCAGATCTGACAAATCTACCCATAGGCCCCATAGTAGTTCCTGTTTGGGGTTCATATTTAGAATCCTATAAGGTAGTCCCAAAAAGGAACTACTTAGTAACTACTTTGCGGCCTATGGGTACGTGCTGCTCGCTTGCATCATTTGCTTTACTGCTTTCAGGTGCGACAGGGATTCTACAGAGTCGGCGTTTGGGCGTAACCCTGAAGGTTTCCAAAGTAACATTCAGCCCTGATTAAGCATTAGGCTGCATGTGCTGTTCAAGCAAGCCCTCGCATAAAAAGATAAGCTTCTCTTGATATAGTGGTGCTTTCACACCAACAAACAAGCTGCACCCCAGAGTTCGATTGCCGTTCCACCGAGGAGATACAGCAACCTAACGTTCAATTTCAGAACCCGTAGGCCATTGTAGGCTTGATCCGTGTGACAATCCGAGAGCTAGATGAGACTCTATACCTAGAGCTCAACCCTAAACCCAAAACCTCAAATCAAGCCCTCCTTGTCTACACGTCTCGCTTCATGGTGTCGAACGGTGGCTCCACCCGACTGCGGCATTCAATTCACCAGGCCTCTTCCCAAAACCCAAAGCCCTAAACCCCAACGTAGAGGTCTTTAATAGTGGTTTGGGGTTTAGGGGTTAGGGAGCAGCTTTAGTTCCTTAAAAGGGCTTCCTGTACTTGAAGTCTCGCCGGTACAGAGGCTACCTTGAACTAACTGCGGCTGCGCATCGTCCAATGTTAGTAGGGGCCTTAATAATTAGAATATGATTTGGGGGGTTCCTTGTTATAATTACAGTAAATACCCCAAACCCTATTCTAATTATTGAAGCCCCAAAATTAATTTGGAAAGGCCTTCGTATACTAGGTAGTATTAGGAAATGGGACCTTATGGAGAGGGTCTATATCAACAAGGGTCCCCTGCGGCCTTAATAATCAGAATAAGGTTTTGCGGTATATTATGCTGTACTTAGAATAAGCAACCCCCAAAATCGTACTCTAATTATTAAGTAAGGCCCCTACAGTATTCGTCATAGTATACTGAACCCTAAACCCTAAACCCTGGCCCTATAAGTATTCGTCCTCTCCCAGGATTCAAAGTACAACTTCACCGGGAGATGTACATGAGCTCCCTGACCAAGCTGGGCATTTGGCCAAAGCCCCTCGCTGGGAAGTGTTGTCGGTGCGTTTGGATTTTGCATTTTTTATTCGGGTTTATGGTTTAGGATTCGGGGGTGGGGGGTTTAGGGTTTGGGGTTTGGGGTGTAGGGTTTAGGGTTTGGGGTTTGGGGTTTAGAGCTTAGGGTTTGCATTCTATTGGGCTCAGGCGAACTTTAGGTACATGGTACCCTGGACGCCCAAACCTGTTGGTTAGAGATCTTGTGAAAGCTCCACCATGACAGCTAGGTTTTGAACGACCTCAAGCCGTTGTTTACCGTATGTTAGTATATTACATAAAACACTACAGTACATTAAGTAGATTTGTGCATCAAGTAGTATATATATTGTATGCCCCAGCATGTTATAGTAGAACATGAGAATATGTTATGGGAGGTGGGGGTAATACGTGTAATATAGGGGCCTTGATAACTACCGATGCTATTGGGGATCCTTATTATAATTAGAGTACAATATACCCCAAAACCCTATGTTAATCATGAAGACCCCTATATCATTTTTAACCCCTGATTCAGGCACTCTGCTAATAAACCCGTATAAATCGGGTCCCTGATCCTCGAATCTGAACCCCAAACCCTAAACCAAACCCTAAGCCCCAATCCCTAGAGCCTAAGCCCCTAATCCATGAAGCAGGTGGGGGCACAAGGAGGATGCCCAATTCCTCCTCACCGTGTGCCACCACGGGATGAAGGAGTCTTTGGCACAGCCCCAAAGAGGGTCGCGGGTTGAAGGGCTAAGGGATTATAATAAGGGTTGGGGGGTTTAGGGGTTTAGAGTAGTTTAGGGTTTAGGGGTTTTGGGGCTTAGGTTCCAGGCTTCAAGGTCCAGGTTAAGTTTAGCGTTTAAGTTTAAAGGTTTAGGTCCAGGTCATGCAATCCGCGATGATGTTTGGTGCTTGTAGTGGGACCTCTTACAAACGGTCAGGGAGCACTTGGCAAGCAAGATGCCCCCTAAACCCTAAACCCCCCTAAACCCGAAACCCTGAACCCCTAAGCCGTAAGTCTATAAGTCGGGAGAACGAGCCCGGGCTTAGGGAAGAAACGGAAGTCGCCTACAGAAAGGCTCATCTCACCCAATAGGACAACCACACAACACAGTAGACCCCCTAGTTTCCATCCCCAGGCCTTCAGATGTAAGTTGAAATTCAGATGTTCGCCTTCCGGAAGTACCCCCTTTGTGCTTTGCTTTGGCGCTAGCGTTTAGGACGTTGAGAGCGTAGATCCCAATCTAAGCTTGCTATGTCTGCATGGATACGTATAGACACTACGTGCGCAACGGCTGTTTGTTGCACGCTGCTGCATGTATCATTGCAAATCATGAAGACTTCACCACAGAGAGGCGCGTAAAACCCCAAACGCTAAACCCTAAACCCTAAACGCTGAACCCTAAACCCAAACAAGAGGTGCAGAGTTTTGACTGATAGTTGCGAGAGCATTGCAGCACTTCGTCCCCGACTACCAAAACAACAGCGCTCCGAAGGTTCATGTGAAACCCTAACATATAGAGGCCTTCATGATCAGAATAGGGTTTGGGGGTATATTATATAAGGGCCTTAATGATTAGAATAGGGTTTTGGGGTATATTATACAATAACTATAATAAGGAGCCCCACCCCGGAAGCAATAGTATTGGCAAGTACTTAGGCCCCTATGCTAGCTACGTTTGCGGCCCGGGCCCGGCAAGGAGCACGTCTCCATGCTGGGGCAAGATGTTTTCATGCCGGGTCGTGACTGTCGAGAGGCCGAAACAGTCGAGGGACTTGAGAGGTTTCCGTATGATGTACAGTAATCTGCTACTATATACTGTTCCTATACTATGGCAGGGCAGTCGCTGTAGCACCAGAGCTGTAAGGATCGTTTGAGGAGCCTCATCAGTTAGTGATATCGATATCTGTACTGCGTATACTATGGCAGACTAGCTGGTATACTCTCATCAATATTGTAACGTACAGTGTACTATCACACAGATTGTTAAAGACAGACTTGGAGCTGCTCAAGATCGTTTGAGGATCTGCAGAAGTTTGTGGCTGGCGCTGTTAAACAGGACGAATCATCTGCATGGCCCACCTCTCGGCCAACTACCTCAATCCTTTCTGCAGAGGGCTTTGTGTAATAACCGATCGACTAACGTTGCATTCGTTGCTCACCGCCTGGACCATGCTAAACTCCTGCTTCCCAAACAGCGAAGGACATGTCGGAGCCTTAAATAGCCCTTCAGACTGCAGCAGTACCGTCTAGTCACTACCTAGTACTATAGTCCAAACCCGCCCCGCCGATCTTGCCTACGGACCTGGGTCGGCTGGGAATTGAGCGTTTCGGAGGCGTCTTGCAACGGACCAGGTGGGCGAGCATCATCTGCCTAGGGTGGGAACGAGCATCATGAGCATCCAGGTTGTTTGTTTGGCAGTCGGGGCAATGCCGCGTGGAAGTCAGAAGGGCGGCAACTCCAGCCAGAGCCGAGCCACAGAATTCCCAAGTCGTCCTTCAACTACAGGACGGCTAAGAGGCATTTCGGCGCCCGAACCTCAAGCCCTGAACCCAAAAATCCCAAACCCAAAGCCCAGGGCACTAAATAATTCCAGCCTCAACCCCGAACCGTCTAATACCCAAGCCAGCCTGACAGTCTCTAAACGCTAAAGCTGAATCTTACCTAAACCTAGAAACTCTACCTTCTTAGGCTTCCTTATTATGTTGTCCCTGTATAAGTCCTCAAAAAGGGTAGGTGCTTTGGGGTTATTAGACCCTGAACTTTAAACACAAATAACCCCCTAAACCCCTAAACTCTAAACCCAAACCCTAAACCCCTAAACCCCTAAGCCAAAGACCCTAAACCCTAAACCCCTAAACCCCAAACCCTAAGCCCTATACTCCCTAAAGCAGGTTTACATCATCGACAGCGGCTCCTTGGAGTATTCGGCTAGTGGGCAGATGCCCTTCGAGTGCACCGCGGCTTCCGCAACCGACTCCGTCCCGAAGCTGGCAACATAAGGGGCTCTAGGTTCAGGGTTTAGGGTTTAGGATCAGGGTTTAGGGCTTCTGGGGTTTAGGGTTTAGGGCCAGGGTTTGGGGTACTCTCGCAACCCTAAACCCTGTAAGTTCCAAGACTCTGGGGGGTTGTCGTAGATTGTGGTCTCACTTCGGGTTTCCATTACATGGGTAGTTCTCTTAGTTAGGGTCCCTTTCTGGGTCCCCAACATAGTACGGCACCCTTACAAAAAGGACCCTAAAAAGGAACCCAATTTAGAGAACTACCCGCTTGAACTAAACTGCAATAATGCGTCACTACTGCAAAAAGATAATGTAAACCCTGAACCCGTAAACCATCGTAAACCCAAACCCCATTCCCTTATGGGCTTTAGGTCTGTAAGACGACCCAGGTGCTGTGCTTGCCAGCTCTTTGGGCTGAGTGGACGCATCGCGGACGCCTGACGGCGAACTATGGCCTCTGTGGCACGGCCAGTTTAGGGTTTCGGGGGTCGCTAAGGTGCTCCAGAGCTTCCAAAACCCGTCAATCAAGGAACATACCTTACATGGGATGAGGGATCCTAGGATGATTTTTAACTAAGGAATTTTGGAAGGTCTGGGTCACACACACGTAGAAAATTCAGAACCCCGGAACAAACCCCAAACAGCAGGATCCTTTTTGATTGAGACCCCCCAAACAAGGCAATTCATTCATGGCGTGAGGGCGTTTAGGGTTTGGGGTTCAGTGTTTATAGAGTTTAGGGTTTATAGGGTTTAGGGTTTGTAGGGTTTAGGGTGTATAGGGTTTAGGGTTTGTAGGGTTTACGGTTTATAGGGGTCAGGGTTTATAGGGTTTAGGGTGTTTAGGGTTTAGGGTGTTTAGGGTTTAGGGCTTACAGGGTTTAGGGTTCATAAGGTTTAGGGTTTATAGGGTTTATGGGTTTAGTGTCAGGCACTCGGTTAGATGCTATGTGATGTCAAGTACTCGGGTTTTCTGCAGCGTGGTATAGTGTTCCGGGAACTTGTTCGTGTTGAGGCGTCAAATGGTGCGAGCGCATGCTTAAGATGACCAAACTGCAATGCGAAAGCCGTCCGCTGCAGGTTACTACAACGGAGTCGACTGCGAACAGCACTTTGGCCCCAACGTGTATTCTCCTCTTTCTACATAATATTAGGGCTTCCGAAAATCGGGGACCCTAATATAGTGCCCTAAATAATAGGATCCTTATTACAAGGATCCCAAAATAAGGCGCTCCTGATTTTCGGAAACTCACATATGGAGTTTGAAGACGACTCTGCGCGCGGCAGGATTGATTCAGCTCGTAGGATTCTATGCGGTCATGAGGGTTTTCAAGGGCTAGGCAAGGCTTTGTAGCATTACGGAGTTCAGACGAATCACGACAGTTAATGTGGAGGCCTAGATACTTACCAATACTACTTTGGGAGTTCCTTATTATAGTTATAGTATACATTATACTATGGGTAAAGGCTTAAGGTTTTGTCCCCTGTGTAGACGTGTGGCCCTGAAGATTCGGATCTTGCGGCTTGGCCACTCTGGTTGCCTGCATAGGTGCCTGCATAGGTGTTAGGACCGCTGACCCAAACATAGCACTAGAAGTCTTGAACTTGTAGATGCAAAGCTCAGCAGGACCAGGTTCATGCAGAGGTTGCCGCCGCCGAAATCTTGCAACACAGCAACTATGTTGCAAGCACCTTCTAACAAGCATTATGCGGGGGATGGGGTTCGGATTTCGGCGGCAAATAAAGGACCCCAAAACCCCTTGTCAATTATTTAGGCCCCTATATGAAGGCCCACTCAATTCCTTCGTTGTTAGGGTCTACAGGGAAAGCATGTCGAGAAGGGCTGGCACCATCGACTTCCCGCTATCTCGGCCTAGGTTGTAAGTATCAATATCAGAAGATTTGTTGACACTAACAGGACCTACTACTGTCGCAACTTCGGCCCTTAAGAGCACCTACTATATGGCAACTTATGCCCTTTGGGATTTACATTCAGAGGACTTGGCTGTCACGGAGGCCGATGCGCCGAAAAGTGTGCAATCCTCCATGCACTGGAAAAACTGTCCGAAACTCTCAAAGTCCAGTCCAAAGCCCCCAAAAATCGACGCCTTCATAGAAAGCCCCATCCCCTGAACCCTAAACCCTAAACGCCTATCCCCTGAACCACCTTAATCCCCTAAACCCTAAATCCCTGTTAGGTTCTGCTCCCTTGCCATCAACTTCGGGGGTGTTCTGTGCCACTACCTCAAGAGCCTCGGTCTCCATGGACTTTCGGTTCGGGGCTCGGGGTTCATGGCAGTCGTTGCAAAACAGGAGCAAGTCGGAGCCGCCATGAGGATTGTAATGTAGGGGCCTAATACTATTTTAGGGGTTCCTCATTATGCTTATAGTATAATGCGCCCCGAAACCCTATTCTAATTGGTGGCGTAATGTTGGGAGGAAGACAAGGCTTGCAGAGGATGTAGGATTCAGATGTAAGGGTTTATGTGGCGTACCGGGAGGCGGATATGCCGGGCAGCTGGCCTATTTCCTCCAAAGAATGTTTTTGTCCGGTAGCTTTGTGATGTGGCATGGTTGCAGGTTTGGAGGTATCGTGTTTGGCAGGGCAGCTAGATTTCAAGACTTCAACTCGCTGTGAGCCTGATCATGGTATGCCCATCTCCTTGATTAACCTCCATGCCCTATGCCTGTGCACAAGATGGAGCCCGGAAGACAGCGCAAGCCCCACATAATTACATGCGTAACAGCATTGGATTGTCTGTTCCACAGTATTCCTTAGTTCCTTAGAACAACAAGTCAGACACGCCATGGCAAAGTTCGGTCTTGAGCTTCGAATAGCCGGGGCTCATTGTAACTATGCTTTGGCTGGCTGGCTCTTCCCGATGAGCAAATGAGTTATGCTGTGTGTGTCTGTGTGTCTGTCTAGGGCGGTTACTACAGTCCTTAAGCCTAACCCCCCCAAAGCCCTAGACCCTGAAGTCCAAAGCCCCCAGGAACGATGCAGAGAAGATTAGCATGGCTTTTGTAGCAGGATGACATGCACAAAATCGAGAAGTGTACCAAGCTCTTGGAACGATACAGAGAAGATTAGCATGTACCAAAGCTAGCATAGCTCCTGCACAAGACATGGACACACAAATCGAGAAGTGCAGCAAACTCCGCCCGCCTCCTGCTGGCGGAGATGCTGTATTGGGAGGCCGGGACCATAGGTTAAGAGGGGTTCTTTAGGCTTTTGGGTCTTTTGGGTTGGTTTAAGCGCCCTCAGCGGCGATTAAGCGCCCTCAGTGGCGGTTAGGCGCCCTCAGTGGCGGTTAGGGTGATAGGCTATATTTTTGGGGTATAGGGCTTAAGGCTTATTATGGGTTCGGGTTTCGGGCCAGGGTCTCAGGTTGTTTGGGTTTCGTGTGGTTTCCGCTTCGAGTTTGGAGTTTAGGTTCAGATTTGAGGGCTATTCGGGTCACAGGGCTTTAGAAAGTTGTGTATTTTTTGTTTAGGGCTTAGGGTTTAGGGAGGTTTTGGGGTATTGTGTCTTGAAACCCAAACTAACTTAAGCCCAACTGCCTAACCACCAAAATAGGTGACCTGAATAAACCGTTCTTGGCCAAACCCATATCCCCAAAACCCTTTATCCTAAAAAAACTCTTTCCACTTATCTGGGTAGTCGACCTAAACCCTACTGATGCCTAAAACCTTTTCTATCCCTAATAAACCCCTTACCGCCTGTGGGGTAGTCGACCTAAACCCTACTAATCCCCTAAACCCTTTCTATCCAAAAACTCCTAAATAGAGCCCTTACTACTTTTCTCGAGTCCCACCCACTTACTAAAACCCTACAGCCTTAAAACCGTCAACCCTAAAGCCCCTAAGACCCTAAAGATTGCATTGGCAGATCTGCGGCGGCCAGATGACAGGAGGTGCTGGGGTTTCGGGTTTAGATGGGATGTAGGATACAAAGGGCTCTAGGGGACTAGTAGGGTTTAGGATTATAGGGGTTAGGCCTGTCTCGACGGTTAAGCGCCTTTTTGGCGGTTAGGGGGTTTAGGATGTAAAGGGTCCAGGGCCGTGTAACGGATGGGTAGTAGGTTAAAACATTTTAGGGTTCAGGTCGCCTACACAGGCGGTTAAGCAGCTTTAAGGCGGTTTCGGGTTTAGGATCTAAAGGGTCTAGGGCCGTCTAGCGGATGGGTGTATCGGTTTTTACTTTTTAGGGTTTAGGTCGCCTACAAAGGCGGTTAAGCGCCTATAAAGGCGGTTAGGCTTCAGAGGGTTTAGTATTGGGGCTTAGGAATTAGGTAGACTCCCAGCCTTAACCGGTATTGAGTTCCAGTGCGGTCGTGAGGAATTGACGGAAGAGCACGACGAGGAGTGGAGCCTGCGGCTTTGTTGGAGGCTTGCCACGTTCGTTTGTTTGCAGTGTTTCTGGATTGGCAGATTGATAGGTCTTTCTTGTTTCTATGTGCAGTGGTGCAATGACCATTCTTCGAGTCAGAGGGTCTGTAGCTAAACCATGCCACAGGTCGGCTTCTGCTGCTGGTGGCCATTGTCCGTCTGCACCGAGTACGGGAAGGACAGATCCTTGCATTGCTCGTCGAAGTGCATGTGCCGTGTGTTTGCATTGTGCCAGCCGGGCATGAAGAGACTGTTGCTGGCAATGGCTCAGACATGATTGCATCGCATGCCATGAGTTCACATTAGCCTCTTGGGCACTTCCGGCATTCAAGTCACATTAGCCCTTGGGCACTTCGGGCAGGCAACTTTAGACTACAACCTTCAGGCTGCGGCTCTTAGGCCTAGACAACCTTGAGGCTGCGGCTCTTAGACCTTGGGCTAAACTCCAAATCAAGACCGTCCTAAGACCGTCCTAAGCCCGTCTTAAGCACTCCCCCATCAGCTTAAGGCTAGTGTCCTCTCCTCGTGCGGTAGCCATGTCGCACCGCGACTGGAACGTCGATTGGTCGAGGTTCTACGATGCGGACAAGGGCGAATGGAGGAAGGACCGGAAACGAGGAGGACGGGGAAAGCAGGCAAGCTCCACCTCCCCTGTGCCCGTCTCTTGATTGCAGCCAAGTAGTTTCTGATTGCTGCACTCTAGCCCCAACTTGAAATCACTGTCTACTTTCTGAGGTCACAGTGCCTCCTCGTATCGTGCCTGCTCGTCCGTCGGCATCAAGCAGCTGGGAGGCTCGGGGCAGCCACATGTGTGGAAGTTTCCAGACATGCGACACTCCTGTTAGGGACCGGCGGCAGAGGAAGAGGCGGTGGCGGCCTCTCGTCGCAAAGGTTGATTGGAGCATAATAAGCCTAAGCACAAGTTGTGCGGAATCATAATTGAGGCACAGCCGGCCGAAGCTCCGGACGATGCTGCTGCAGAACTTCGGGCAGCTTCTCATCTTAATTCTTGTTTCGCATGACTTTTGGGCTTGTACTCCAATCACACCACCGGCCGAATCTCAGGACGAAGCTGCTGAAGAACCTCCAGAGGCAGCATCTTTTTCAATCCACACGACTTTTGGTTGGGCTGGTGCTCCAATCAACCTGTGAGGCACCGCTCTTTCAAGAAGACTTGCCCGTGGAGGTGCCAGAACTTGGGGCAGCTTCTCATCTTAATTCTCATTGCACATAACTTTTGGGCTTGTACTCCAATCACACCACCGGCCGAATCTCAGGACGAGGCTGCTCAAGAACCTCGAGAGGCAGCATCTCATCTGAATTAACAATACACACGACTTTGGGTTGGGCTGGTGCTCCAATCAACCTGTGAGGCACCGCTGGTCGAAGAAGAATTGCCCATGGAGGCACCAGAACTTGCTTCTCATCGTTATCATTCCACATTGGGGCTTTTGTGGCAATCAACCTGCCAGGCAGTGCCGAGCCAAGCTCCCGAGGAAGCTGCGGCTCTGGATGGGGCTGTGCCAGAACTTCCGGGGTCGGCTTCTCGTCTTAATTATCTCCATGCCTGGGCTATTCCTGATGCCCCTTCCATCTGAGGCACCTAAGGATTCTGTCGAGCAGGATCAGCCAATGCCGGCCGCCTCCTAGCAGCATCCATGTTATTCTTGTCAACCCGGGTTTCTGTGGCTGTATTGACAATAGCAGCCACAGAGGCTGCAGTACCCGAGCCACCCGAGCCACCCATCGCCTCTTGACTGAACTTAATAAAATACCCTTTTTCAAGTAGCAAACACTTACTCTCCTCTGATGCCGTTTTCAGGACCTCACCGGGGCAGAGGAGCACATGGCTTCTTGACTGAACTAAATTAAACACTCGCTTTGATTTCCTGCAATGCCAATGGCAGCACGTGGTGGAAGCCCAGCCTCTTGACTCTCGTGCTGAGGAGAGGGTGGAAGAGAGTGCGGCAGCAGAGCCTGCGGCGGCGTCTCGACT